CGACTGATAATTCCTTATAGACCTAAGGCGACCCTTGGGTAGTTTCTGCAACCCTGATATTTTTCTTGGGTAGGCCTCTGTGGCCCGAGAATTTTCTTGGGTAGGCTCGCAGGCCCCAAGGTACTCCCTTAGATTGTGCAGTTCTAAGGAACTGCACATGGCGTTCGGTTGAAGGACGATTCAGAGTTTTTAAATTAAAAACTCCTATGATGTTTTAATGACTGTGATCTGTACTAATTTAAAAAAACATAAATGTTTTAAATGTTTTGCGGGAACACACTAGATAACCATCATGATCTCCTGAGCTCAGTTATCCGAAATATTTCCATATGAACTGAAAGCTTACTGTCTGTTACTACCTGAAATATCAGTAGGATCTCCGCTCAACATAATGATTTGAAGATGTCAGAACCAATAAGAAAAATTTTGCCTATTTGTTATTTGCATGTTCCTCAGCATTATTTGGTAGTTCTGTATTACTTAGCTTCCCAAAGCTCACTATATTACTCACCTTTTCAGGTTAAAAGAATTGTACCAGTGCATTTATCAACATCATAAAGGGAGTTCTTCTAACGTTGCTTATAGAGTATGGTACACGCGATTAGGGGGCATGTAGATTGTATTTTGTTTTATATCTGAGTCTGAAAACCTGTTTTATTTCTGAATACTGATAAATGATTTTATGAGTTTACATGTTTTAATAAAAGTTTTAAATTTTTCCGCTATTTTTACGATGGTCGCTCCAGTGGCCCTAATATGACACTCCAGATCAGATCGGGTTACCCGCATCGGTCTGAGGGGGTTACAGATTACATAATAACATCAATTAAAAATATTTTTAATTTATTAACAATGCACATATTCTACAAATGTAATTTTTAAACTTAAATTTTTAATAAAAAATAATAAATTTTTACTATTAAAATTATTTAATGAGTTTTAAGTTTAAATTTAATTTAGATATATGAAGAAGACTTAAAAATGTCATGCACGCTCAAGTGGGGGATGTAGGCTTTGTTCAGGATGGATACATGCTCATTCTGAAATTCAAATTTTTTATATTAGTAGTTCTGTTCATTGAGAGTGTTCACTCTGAAATTTGAATTTATTTATGTTAGTAGTTCATTTTACTGAGGGTGTCCATCCTAATTTTTTATTTGTATCCACCCATAAGAAAAATTATGTTATTGATATATATGTTCTCACTCTCAAAATAATTTTAGATACGTCACTTTACATGTTTTTCTCTTGACAATATCAAAAGGATTAAATTATGATGTTAATTATTTTTAAAGTTATATAAATATTTTTTAAAAATATTTTTATTTTAAACAATATAGGATAATTATGAAGTAATGTTTGTTTAGAATTTTTTTAACTTATTAATAACGCATATGCACTATGTAAATGCAACTAAATGAATGTAAAACCTTAAGAATAATAACATTTCTTTTTATCATTTAAATCGTTATTTAGTTTATAAGAATATTCTTTTTAAAATTACATATTTCTAAAGGTGGGATTGCACATACCCTTGGAGACAAAAAAATGCAGTCAAACCAAGTGCAAAAGCAGGAGATAATTTATGTTTCTTCCCATTTTTTTATGAGAGGGGCAAAAGAACGCAGCAGGCACAAGCATAAACCTGCATTAAAAACCCTAAAGGTGCGTTTGGTTCACGGAATAGAAGATTACTAGTGGGAATGTAAGATTATCAGGAAATAGGATTACTGTGAATGTTGTATTTTGTGTTTGGTTGGCTTAGCAGGAATGTAAGATTACCGTGTTTGGTTAAAGGAATAAAAATTATTAGAATGATCAAATATTATATATATATATATATATATATATATATATTTTAACAAGTTGAAAAATATTTATATATTTTCTTTAAAAAATTAAATTCATAAAATTTATATATTTTTTTTACAAAATTGAAAATATAAAAAGGTTTAATGAAAGGGTAAAATTTTATTTTAACCCCTGAACTTCATATAAAATTTTAATTATATATATTTTTTTTTGTAAATCTAAAAATGTTTAATGATAAATTTGTAATTTAACCTTCGTAGAATTTTTATTATTTAATGACAGAAAATTGATATTTAAAAAAATTTAAGGGCATTTTAGTCCAAAACGCCGGGAATCCAACAATACCTAAGGAAAGGGAAGTAATGACATTCCCAGTAATATATCCCAAAAAATCTACTATTGGTAATCTTACATAACCGGGAATGAAATTTCCGAACTAACCGAACGGGGAATGTGGATTACATTCCCATGGGAATCCCACATTCCCCCATCCAAATACTCCTAATGGGCTATGAAACCGCATTGTTTCCACGTGAAATTCACGTGGGAATAACAAAGGGGGTTTGAAAACCCTAAACCCAGAAAACCAGCTAGTAATTAAGGAGATTGAGGTAAGCTGGAGGAGAAAGAGCCAGCGTTACAACCAGGAGATGAAAGGGCAGGCAGCAGCAGTAAATGGTGCAGGGTAAAATGGCCGCCGGTTGAATGGTCGCCATCGGCAAAAGAGGCCAACGCCCCCTTAGCAGCATGCAAGTGTACACTGCTGAGGCTCACACTTGTCATCCCGCAAGACATTTCAACCTAAAATATGCGACGAATTTCATGATGCAAACTTCTGATTAACTTATTCTAAAACTCTTAATTATTTGATAGTAAACATTAAATATTTCATAATTATTAATATTCAAATTTTTATTTTAAAGGATAATAACTACTTATATAATCACTAAGATAGTTTCATTCGCACTTCTATTGCAGCGGTATATTCTATGAAAATATTAGTGTAATTAATTTTAATATTAACGTAACTAAAAACCATAATATTATGATTAATAGGCCAACGTGATCGAACAGCATGTGGCGAAATGAAAAGACCAGCTGGAAGATGTTTAGGTTTCCTATATTACTCATCATGCAGGCGCCCCCTGGATGCCACATACTGTTGGCACCGAAACAGTGTGCTCTCTGATTTTCCCCATTCCAACCATTTTTCTCTCTTTCTTTGTAACTTTTATTTAATTATAGACATTTAATATATTAATCAATTAATTCAAATCAAATATTATAATTTTTAAGAAATAATTACTCCAACATTATTTATTTTATTTATAATATTAGAATTTAAATATCTAATTTTATTTAAAATATTTAAAATATTATTTTATTAAATCAATTGATTATTAATATTTTCTTTAAATAATATTAGAAAAAGGAGTAAAAGAGTAACAATATTTTTTATAATAATTAAAAAGTTATAATTATAAACTGAATAAAATGATATTAGCATATTTATCTTAAGATAGTTTAAAATAACCTTTCAAAAAAATTCAAAATAACTGTTATTAATTCAAAATAAATAACTTTTAATTATTTTAGCAATGAGGCTTTAGGGTTTAGAATTTAAATTTTGGAGTTTTAAGATTCACACGGAACTGTAGAATTTAAATATTTGAGGACAGGTGGTATTAAGTAGAAATATATGGTCGATGAATCATCAACGTTTGAGCATCACCAAATCCAAACCCCCATAACCAACAACAGCGGAAATGATTATTATAAATATTAAAGCTCCAACATTGTAGGGAAATCATGGCACAGTATTTGTGAAGGCGGAACACATATTTGAACCACGTATATATCGTTCTCACAACTCTCCTGGATTTGGGTTGGCCTGACCTTTTCGTTGAAATCTGCCTGACCCTTCAAGCTCCCATCGGCTCACAAACTGACGACACACACACAAATATTTCTTTATTATTTATTGGTTTCTGTGTAAATATATATTTGGTTATAAAACTGTACCTGGTATGTAAAGCATAGATAGTCCGGTTGCAATGTAACCGACATCAAACAATATCTATCTACATGGCCGCCCAATATATGTGCCTGATGGGCGACGGCCCAGGGCAGCATGTAGGGCCGGGGCATCAGTTTCTAATATTGTGACCAGCCCACCTTGTATAGGAATAAATCTTGCATGCTTCTAATATTGTTGTCAATTCCGCGAATGATAGGACATAGCGAAGGAAACCCATAAAGGAACATCGCAGAAGGGAGAGTGGCTAATTTCCTTTTCTATATCTGTTGTCTCCCACAATGGCTTCGATGTTGGAACCTGAAAGCTCAACAACAAACATATATTTACCGGAAGAGTGGTCGGACTGTCGGAGGTTGCTGATTCCATAGCCTATGATTCTGTAACTTCGCCTCCTCCTTTGTCTTTAATCTGTGGTGCCAAAAACTCCGACAAAACTACTTTCTCGTTCTTCTCCAAAACTATCTACATTTTTTAATCAACCAAAAGCAGCTCTAATCAACCATGCAGATGCTAGTTGTTCTCTATCAATTATATTAAACTCATAAAAGGAGACAAAGATCACAGTCAAGGAATCAATGCTTCTATAATTTATTTTCTTCTTAGAAAACACGCGATTTTACCGAAATATCACTATGACATATAATAATTACTTGTCAGAATATCTTTCTCCTAATTTTATAAATCTTTGTATTAACTATAAATATTTGATACTTTCAAATAGATAATATATGAAATAACACTCAAAAGCGAACCTTAATAGTGTTAGAAGACTGCTTCATGACTGAAACATGTCCACACGTTTTTTATGTTTGTTTGTTAAGTTGATTATGTCAAAGTTTGTTCCTATTTTTAGGAAGTAGCTATTTTGTTATTCATGATCTATAAACGTGTAGAAAGTTTAGGATCATATTGATAGTGGTTAATTATTTTGTTTTTGTTTTAAAAAAATTGTAACGTTTCTGATTTTTAGGATGAAGTTCTGTTTTTGTTCTTCTAGCAGACACGTTCTTCTCTTCTTCACATTAAAAAACAACAATTGGTATCAAAGCCCTTTTCTTAAGGGACCTATGAGTGACTTTGACACGCCATGGAAGTTGAAGTAAGTTTTTCTTCAATTTCTCCACCGATGTTTGATCGATAAAACTACCAAATGTGGGCAGTTCGCGTGGAGACGTATTTGGAGGCTTTGAATCTTTGGGAAGCAGTGGAAAAGGACTACATAGTTCCAGCGATTCTAGTCAATCCCACTTTGGCTCAGATAAAAGCACATAAAGAGATGCAAAATCATACTTGTTTGCTACAGTTTCAGCCACCATTTTCACCTGAATTATGTCTCTAAAGTCAGCAAATGAGATATGGGATTATCTCAAGAATGAGTACGAAAGAGATGAGAGAATTCGTTGGATGCAAGTGCTGAATTTAGTTCGTGATTTTGAGATGCAAAAGATAAAGGAAACTGAGACAGTTAAGGAGTATGATGAAAGACTTCTTAGCATAGCAAACCGAGTTCGGTTGTTGGGATCATCTCTGAAAGACTCGAGCAATGTGGAGAAAATCCTTGTAACATTGCCTGAAAAATTTGAGGCTACTGTTACCACATTGGAGAATACCAAGGACTTGTCCAAGATTCCTTTGGCATAACTCTTGAGTGCCTTGCAAACACAAGAGCAGAGGCGTGCAATGAGACAAGAAGGAACTATTAAAGGAGCCCTAGTAGCCAAGCATCACAATAATGGCAAGAATGGGAAGCAGAAATTCAAGTAGCCTTATGTAGAAAGAGAAATCTCAACAAAAGAGAGCAAAACCACAGCTGGAAACAGAAAACCAGGTGTGAAGAAGGAGTATCCTCTGTGTCATCACTGCAACAAAAAGGGTCATCCCCCTTTCAAATGTTAGAGAAGACCTGATGCGAGATGCAACAAATGCAATCAAACCGAGCATGAAGCTGTCATATGCAGAAACAAAAATCAACAACAAAAGGAAGAAGCTAAAGTTGTAGATTAAGAGGAAGAAGATAATTATTTGGCTACATGCTTCGTGGGCTGTGAATCAAATGAAAGCTGGCTGATTGACAGTGGTTGCACCAACCATATGACTCATGAGAAGGAGTTGTTTAGAGATTTGAAGCCAACTAACATCAACGAAGTTAGAATTGGCAATGAGGATTATATCTCTGTCAAAGGAAATGGGACTATTGCGATTGCAAGCTATACATGTACAAAACTTATACAGGATGTTCTTTTTGTTCCTGAAATTGGCCAAAATATATTGAGTGTGGGCCAACTAATTGAAAAAAGCTTTAAAGTTATTTTTGAAGATGGATATTGGTTGATTAAGGATGTAGCTAATCAAGATATCTCAAAGTAAAAATGAAAGGAAAGAGTTTTTCACTCAACCCTTTAGATGAGGAGCAATATGTTTTTTCACTCAAAGAAAATGTCACTCAAATTTGGCACAAGAGAGTTGGACACTATCATCATCAAGGGCTGCTGCAACTAAGAGAAAAGGAGTTGGCACTCGATGTTCCCAAACTTAGTGATGAAATCTCAAGCTGTAAAGCATGTCAATTTGGAAAGCAAAAAAAGGAAGCTGTTCCCGAAGTCAACCTGGAGAACCACTCACAAATTGCAGTTCATCCACACAAATGTTTCAGGCCCTCATAGAACACCTTATTTAAAAGGTAGTCTATATTATATTGCCTTTATTAATGACTTCACCAGAATGTGCTAGATTTTTTTTCTTGAAGTTTAAATCAAAAGTTGCCCAAGTTTTTTGGAAATTAAAAGCAAGAGTTGAGAATGAAAGTGGCTGAAAAATTCAGATTGTAAGGTCTGACAATGGGAAGAAGTATACTTCAGCAAAATTTGACAAGTTTTGTGAAGATTCAGGCATAGAGCATCAACTTACAGCTCCTTACACACCTCAACAAAATGGAGTTAGTGAAAGGAGAAATAGATACAACATGGAAATATCAAGATGCATGCTGCATGAAAAGAATTTGCCAAAGAAATTTTGGCCAGAGGCAGCAAATACTGTTGTGTTTCTTCAAAATAGATTTCCCACAAAGGTAGTGAAGGAACATTTTGATGTTTCGATATAACAAATAAAGTGTTAATGAATTTTAAGATTTTATATTCGATTCAAAATTACATATTCAATTAAATTATTCGAATATTAAAAACATTACTCTAAGTTTTTCAAATGTCAATTTTACTCCTTACTTAAGTGTAAAATTGTGTTTCAATCTTAAAATATTTTTGAAACAATTTTTACAAAGTATTTCGAATCTTAATCAAGCCAAAAACAAGTTTAATATAGAGAGGTACCGATACACTCTTCGAATATACTGATACCCTTGAATTTCAAATGTAATAAGGGTATCGATACATAGCTGAATGTACCGATACACTCCATGTCAAAATTGGCTCCGAGAAACATTGAATGCCATAGGTGTACCGATACCCCTGGGAGGTACCGATACACTTTGTCAAATAACAGTCGAAATATTTGAATTTTACACTGGGTGTACCGATACCCTTTGAAGGTGTACTGATACCCCTACGCTCCCAACAGATTTTTAAGTGGTATCCACAACACAACGGCTCTATTGACTTCAACAATGATCCCCAACGTTCAGAATCAATCCAAGGTGTATTTAAATAAGTTCTGAAGCCTTTGATCATTAAGAAAAGAAATTATTGAGAAAGAATCAAGAGAGAAAGCTTCAAACATCAAGTTTGTGCAATCTAAGCCAAATTCCTTTCAATATTCATTTTGCTTTCAAGAACACACTTTGTGCTCAATTGTTTTCATCTTTGAGTGTTCTTTTCTTGTTCTAGAATTGTGCAAAAAATCTACCTTGTGATATTTTTCTGTAAAGTTTGCGAATTTGTAATATTCTCTTTGGGAGAGAGTGTTCTCAAGAATTTGGGGTATAATTCTTAAGAGAGTTGTAAGGTTACTCTTTGTCCTCAAAAGAAAGACAAATTAGTGAATTTGTTGAAAATCCTTAGTGTGGATAGCTAAGGTAGTGGACGTCAACTTTGTTTGAGAAAGTTGAACCACTCTAAATCGCTGTGCAAATATTTTTCATTTTCTATCAAAGCTTCCACCAAACTTTTTATTGTCAATTCACCCCCTCTTGGCTATTTTGTCGATCGATTAACTTAACAATTGGTATTAGAGCTACACTCATTTGAAGATTTTACCACCTCTTGAGTCAATTCGAGAAGATTTATATCGATATTCAAGTCATCAATGGCCTCTACATCAAACTTCGACTTTGTTCTTGATTATCAGCCCGTCAACAAGCCTCATTTCTTCAATGGAGCTAACTATGCTTATTGGAAGAATAAGATGTGATACTTCATTCAAGTTAGTGACATGGGAGCATGGAAAATCGTGATGAACGAATACTTTGAACCATCCACAGATCCGAATATGTGGAGTGAAGAAGAGAAGAGAATGCTTCAGCTCAACTCAAAGGCTATCCATATTCTTTTCTGTGCACTTGGACCAGATGAATACCTGAGAGTTTCATCTTGTACAACCTCCAAGGAGATATGGGATAAACTACAAGTCACTTACGAAGGCACAAACGAGGAAAAAGAATCTAAAATCAGTCTTCTTACTCATAGCTATGAAAATTTCAGGATGAAACCAGAAGAAGACATCAAAGCTATGACGGATAGATTCTCCGTGATTGTCAATGGCCTTAAAGAGTTTGGAGAAGTAATCCCTAACGAGAAGCTTATGAGGAAGAATTTATTCTCTTCCAAAAGCTTGACAATCAAAGAAGACGGCGATTATCGAAGCTAAAGACTTAAAATCTTTAACTCTCGATGAACTCATTGGTTTTCTCCTCACGCATAAAGTGATGATTCCAGATGAGGTAGACCTCAAGAAGAAAGATGAGACAAAGAAGGAGACAGAGAAAAAGAAGAATGTCGATGTTTCTTTAAAATCCATAAAAGATGAAAGTGATTCTGATGATGATGACGATGACGATGATAAAGAAATGACATTGTTTGCCAAACGGTTCAGAAAATTAATGAAGCCCAATAGAGGAAGCAAATTCAAATGGAATGAAGGCTTCAAAAATTAACCAGAGGAGAAGGACCCAATTATTTGCTATGAGTGCAAAAAGCCTGGGTATATGAAATATGTTGCCCAAATTTGAAGAAGAAGAAACAAAAAGCACACATGGCTACTTGGAGCGATGACGAATCATCCAAATGAAGAAAAACAAGAAGTCGTAAACTTGTGCTTGACGGCCACCGGGGAAGATTCTCAGTTAATCTCTAACTCATTTGATTTAGAAGATTATTCTTTTGATGAGTTATTAGAAGAATATAATGGGTTGGCTTCAGATTATGAGAAATTATTTTCGAAATACAAGAAAGATATTTCAAAATTGAAAAATGAAAATAATCTCATATCCAAGACCAACAATGATCTTGAAAGTAAAATTAATGAATTGCAAATCAAAATCAAAGATTTTGAAAAGAAAAATTCTTATTTGCATAATTTACTTTCAAGAGTCAACGATGATCATCAAAAAGAAATTGATGATCTTAAAACTTCTCTTAATAAAGTTGGACCAAAATGTTTTGAAAAATGAGAAAGTTCAAAATCCAACTATATTAGAAAGAGTTTTAAAAAATACAATCATAGAGGTCCCCAAAGAACCTCTAATAGAAAAATTGTTAGAAGTATATGAGTCCCTAAAGGACTCAAATACTACTAAAGATAAGGATATCCTAAATAAATGGATACCCAAGGGGACTAGAATTTTAGGAACTAATGAATATGGACCCAAAAGAATTTGGGTACCAAAAATTAGAAATTAATCTATGTTTGTAGGAAAAGGAGCATTGCTACAAGGCAAGAAATACAAGTTCAAACTCATGGTTCCTTAATAGTGGATGCTCAAGACAAATGACCGGAGATAAGAGCCGATTTATAGAGCTTAACAACAAAAATGGAGGAGTGGTAACCTTTGGTGATAACTCAAAAGGTTACATTGAAGGTATAGGTACTATAGGTTAAATACAAAAAGTATTATATGTGAATGGGTTAAAGCATAATCTATTGAGTATTAGTCAATTATGCGATAAATGATACAATGTCTTATTTGAATCAAATGGTTGTAAAGTCATTGACATTGCATCTAATCGGATTATGCTTATTGTTCATAGAATAGGAAACATGAATGTTTCCAATGATGAACATGATAATTGGTTATGGCATTGGAGACTAGGACAAACTAGCATGAGTGTTTTACAAAGACTAATTCAAGGAAATTTAGCAAGAGGATTGCCAAAGCTAAAATTTGATAAAGATAAAATCTGTGATGCATGTGCTAAAGGAAAACATAAAAGAACTTCCTTTAAATCCATTAATGATGTATCAACTAGTAGAATATTACAATTGATCCATATAGATCTTTTTGGGCCAATTAGGACTATTAGTTTGGGTGAAAAACAATATGCATTTGTAGATGACTATTCTAGATATACTTGGGTTCTATTTTTAAATACTAAAGATGAAACATTAGAACATTTTATCACTTTTTTTAAAAGTAATCCAAAACGAAAAAGGTTACTCCATAACTAGTGTTAGGAGTGATCATGGTACTGAAT